CAGACACTTGTCTATGACACATGGAATGCTCTCCCTGACAGTTATAGGAACATGAAGAAATATGCATTTGGAGTATTATCCATCTTTGGATCAAAGTACCTGTACGAGCAGATGTTCTCAAACATGAACCACATCAAATCAAAATATTGCACCCGCCTCACACATGAGAGCTTGCAGTCCAGCATCAAGATTAAAGTTACATCTTACATGCCTGATGTTAAGCAGCAGACCAGTGATGTCCGAAAACAGAAGTCACATTAAACGGGTAGAAACACAATCCTGTCAAAGGCACATTTTTAGTAATAAGGTGGATGTTTCTTTAAAGTGATGTCTTAATTTCAATGTTTATATTTGGAATGACACTTAGGGATATTATTGTGTTTTGTTGCTCAGGTCCTACCAAAGCTGCATTGGTTGCATGTCAAAAGAGAAGAGGATCCTACTTCGTTTCACTCTTGCACTGACTTGCTTTGCATTTGCAAAGACATCAAACTTGAACTGTGTTAATTACATATTATATACTTTACCTTTTAAAAAGACATCTTTTTTATTTTTAAAAATGTAGGCTGCATTTTATTGTACTCTGTTGCCCAAATAAGGGGCAAGTTGTGCGCGTTCCATTTTGTTGTTGTTTGTTCGAATCCTCAAAATAAAATAAAAAAAGCATCTAATATCAGATTTCTTTATTTCATTTCTTTAATTTCACCAAAGAAATTTAATATAATTCATTAATATTGTAATGAATTAAGGCTTGAGGGAGAGTAGTCGCGTGGTGCATCATTCTCTACAGGAAAAAATCATTAGAAAATTTGAGACAGCCTCTGTTATCTGGAATTGTATTACTTGATATCCTGTTCTTATGTAGCTGTCATTTTAATGTACTGTAGATGTATTTCTGTTAAATGTGTAACTTTAGTTCCTCTTAGCAAGGACGTAACATTTATATTACATGTAGCAAACCTTCTGTTCTGACAGTGTTGTCGTCTATTTTGCTGCCTTGCCTGAAGAAGCTTTGATGCACCTCTGCTGCATAGGAATGTGTAGTTGCAACCAGAAGTACCATAAGAAGGGCAAAAAGGACCACCAATGGGCTACTACTGTAGCTTTGTTGTTTGCCGGTATCTTATACAATGGTGGATTAAAGTGAAAGAGTGGCTTGTGTGACATTTGGAGGTGTAGCAGATTTTTGTCCAGAGAGCCTTTGTTTCAGATGCAGTTCCCTTTAGATCTGGCTCCTGCTTCAAACCGAGTTCCTATCTGGATTGGAGTTTCTAACACATTTATTTTCTTTTCTTTAGATAAATGGTTTTAAAACTTGATTTTATGTCATCTCCACTCTTTTTGTTGCTGCACCTGATCTAGAGCATTAAAAGAGTATGAACACAAAAGAAGATATCCATCCGTCCATTTTCTGTCACGCTTGATCCTTTCCGGGGTTGTGAGGGTCACTGGTGCCTATCTCCAGCTGTCTACAGGCGATAGGCAGGGTACACCCTGGACATGTCAACAGTCCATCACAGACAAAAGAGGACACAATTTTTTAAAACAAAATGACTTTTTAAGAAATTGTATAAACGCCAAATATCAGGTTTATGTTGAATCAGCAGTTGCTAGTTTATTGGTAAAATTGCTGTTACAACTTTATTTTACGCAGGTAACATAACAAAAGCTGGTCTTTTAGACTGAATTTTACAAGTAGAAAGTAATGAATGAATTCACCGTTATTTTCAGTGTAGATCTATAAAACATGTCACACATGTATATCAGGTATGCGGATTTTACAGTTTAATATGTGAATAAACACTGTCCTCAGCCCCATTCATTTTCTTTCCTCTTCTACCTTTACCAGCAGAGAAGTGTAATGCTGCATAGTTCAGGTTCTGCTCGTCATCATTCTGTAAAGTAAATAAAATGCAAGTTAAAAAAGGAAGCTGACAGAAATTATTGTGGTACCTGCCAAAAGTTCACTAGAATTTACAGCTTTACTTACAGTCTGATCACCTTGCTCACTGAAGTTCCTTGATCTTTCTTCTAAAGATGTCCCTTCTATCTCTAATTGTGAAAGAAGAAGAAGAAAAAAGAACAATGTGTGTTCACTCTGACTCCATCTGAGTATTTTTTTTTTTTGCTTTTGAAACTGATAAAAAACTAATAAATCATCATAAAATACACAAAATCTTTAAAAATACATAGAAATTCAATTTGTCAATAAAACTGTGAAATGACTAGATACAAGCAAAATGTTCAGGTTTCATAATAATGGTTGCAATTTATGAAACCTGATACTTTGCATCAAAGTATATAAGATAAAGAAAGAATTAAAATACATTTATCATAGCTAATTGTTTTGGGGGGTTTTTCAGTGAGAGAGAGGAGGTGTTAGTGATGTGGATGACAACAAAAATTAAGGCATGCAAATCTTAAAAACAAAAACTGGTTTGAAAAAGCAACTACATTATCAAAAAAGTTTGGAAAAATTTGATGTGTATTTTTTTTTACTTCAAGTTGGCTGTGCTTTATAGCAGAAACGCCCAGCCATCAAGGAATATACGCCCTTTTTAAAGTGATTTAATTTAACATTTCAACTATTTTAAAGTCATGCTTTTTATATGCGATAATTGAAGAGTGATATTACAATATTTTACTGCAACTTTTTAAGTGGACTGGTTCCAACTGTACAGATTGAAAGCAAATTATAGCATGGCCCTTAAACTTTCACAAATGACAAATTGTGGTGGAAAGATTTTGCTGTTACTCTAGAGAAAAACAGAAAAGGGGTACAGTACCATACAACTACACAGCCTAAACTGAAACAACTACTGTAGACATACCATTTTTATCGAAATTAAATATATTCAGCAGACAAGAGCAGCAATCACTCTTATCATTTAAAAGTAAAATCATAGCAACCTGAAATGGAGAGTGGTCTGAAATAAATACATCTATTGATGACCTTCTGTCTATTCAAGTCCATGTTGTTGCTAGTCGAACAAGTAGGTTGCCAGACAGTGGAAGGAAGACTAGTAGCTGTTTGGGATCAGCCAGTTGGGTTACAGTTTCAACCCTGGCAGGCAGAGTAATTAATGTAAAGTGTCACTAAAAAATAAATGCTCAATTCTTTAAAATTATGTTAATAATAGCTTAAATTAAATTTAAAAATGCCTAAATAATATCAGTCCGGGATAACCCTAACCATATGATATTGTCACATAACATATGTATGCGTTATGGATTATTATGGAAGTATTTATTAATTTCATTTTGAGGATTTCAATAGAACTAAAGTTACTGTTAGGATTTTTTATACATATAATCCCTATGCAATAAATGGTATCATTTGCACACGTTAGACAACCAGGGGATGAAAGAAAACTTTTACTTGACTTTATGGCAAAATGTTCTAAATATTTTATTTGTACTCTTACTTTGTTTGTGTTTCATGGGTTGTGTGCTAATGAACTATTATGATGTATAATGTGTGATTCATCGTTTATTAACTCTTGCTTAAGATCTTTCCAGATAAAGGTCATGCAACGGACAGGTTGTGAAAGAGGCCTGAACATTCTCTATCACATGTTGGGTTGTAAAAGAGGCCTGGACATCCTCTATCATATGTTTCTTTTAAGCATGTGTTCTTGGAACAGTTCAATTGTAAAACAACCCCATACTTTGTTTTAACATATGTGCTGAGGTTTAAAGTAAGATCATTTTGTTTCCCTTTCCCTTAGTTAAACCTCAGTTTGTGTAATTAGGGACATCCCCTGACTTCGATAAATAGCAAGGAGAAAGCTGAAGACCAGCAGAGTGGGTTGGAGATTTGTAAACTCTGCAGTCTCTTCCTACTCTCCTCGCCAGTAAAACTAATTTAATTGTCTCTGTGCCTTCTTTCTTTCTTTGTATGTATGATGTTTTAGGTGCTTAGACCTGACACAAAACAAGGCAAATATCCCTCCTGTGATCAAGGCTTCTCAATGCAGAGAGGTTCACAGGAACTGTCGGGATTTAATAGCATTCTTTAAAATCGTCACCTGCTTCAAGAAAAAAATGGCTGTTCTATTCCTGAGCACACTGTACATCAAATACAGGAGCAAGAAATAAAATGAAATCATCCAATGTTGCCACAAGACCAAAAGATGTGCAAACACTATTGACAATCATAGGGCTGTGGTGTAATATCTTCAGGGTTGCCACCATTTTTCAAATCTCAGCTCCCTGAATTTCTGAATGGTACAGTGTCAACACTGCATGATGGCTCTTCCTCGCTGTGCTCTCAAAAGAGTTTTTCACAAAATTAGAACAGAAAGCTTCCTCCAGCTGCGAACCTGATCGCAGAAGCAATGGGAAAATATGGGGTAACAGCAGCCCCAACTCAACCACAGGAAAGACAGAAACAGGGTCAACCAAGGAGAAACGTGATGCTAATTTAGCCTGAGTTATAAAGACAATAAGGTCACCCAGTTGCTGAGGGAAATGCAATGTATCTGTGTACAATGATGACAGCCAGAAACAAATAGTCTGCCTTGAATGCATAGAAATGGACTTGGAACATAAATACTAAATACTCTCTCAAATAAACACTTATGCATAGCACTTCTCTTAAACACATACATACATAGAGATAGAAAATGTATATGTATATTGTTTCTTTTACTGCTGTGCAATTCAACAACTTTAAGAATGGAATTATGCCAAACAATAAATCGTTTTTGGGTGGACAAAGCTGGTTTTTCTTAACCAAATTGACAAAAAACAACCTAAAAATACAGCTAATTTCTTACACATTAATGAAAGTTTGCTCAGCACTGTTCTCATGCATCTAAGACAAATTAATATTTCAAGGGTTATCGTGATCTCTCTATGTGCAGATTAAATTATTAACTTCTGAATAATTAAAGTGATAATTTTCTACAGCCCCTAAAATCAGTGACAAACTCTTACCTTTAAATTGTTTACATGCTGCTGTTGGAGTTTTGAGACGGATCAAAACAATATTTGCAATCAAAGAAATAATCAAACAGGATACAGCAATAAGAAGTAAAGGTGATACAGGGTCTGTCACTGTAAAGTAAGAACACAATTGACCAAAAATCATTTTAAGTGCAAGAGTATGTTTGAAAAAAA